CTCAGGGTCTGCCCCGTTCTCCTAGGATCACCGTGCCAGCAGCACCTGGGAGGGCCCCAAAAGGGAAGGTCCCATTCCCTGGAGGTGCCTCCGGCTGGTGGCTATATTGTCTCTCTGGGCAGCCACAGATAGGGCCGGGGGAGGGGAGGAGGAGGCAATATAGTGCCTGCCGTGTGGCTCGGGTTTGTGCACAGGGAGGTGCCCACGGGTGTTGGGAGCCTGGTGCCGTGTCCGCTACAGGCTTACCGCTCGCTGGTGGTGGCCGTCTCTGGGCTGGTGTCCGCAGGTCTCTCCACCTGCTGGGGAGCCCACCAGCAGTCCGAGATGCAGGGGAGGGGAAAGTGAACCGCTGCGCCTACCCTTCCGCTGGTCTCCGGGCTGCTCCGGAGGTCTCTCCTTCCAGTTCTCCTCTGCAACCTCTTCCCGTGGAGTTTTCTGTGGTCTCAGGTACCCCTCCTTCCACCCCTCGCCGGATGTTTGCTCATCTTCTTGCTTCTTTCTTCTAAATTCTGCTAGAATCTGTCTTTTCTGCAGAGACACTCTGTCTGGCGGTGTTTCTTGTCCGCCATCTTGCTTCCAATCTATCACAAGTTTTGTTATGTACTATTTCTTTCCAAATATTTTGATTTTTTGTTTTGATTTCTTCTTCTTTGACTTAAAAAATATTTAAAAGTGTATTTTTAGTTTGGAAATAAATGAAATTTATTTTGTCTCTATTGATTCCTAAATTGTGTTTTGGTTACAGACTATAAGCTGTATGTTGTGATTTTTTTTTTTTTATTGTGATTTGATTTGTATATGTTCCATTTTTCTTAATCTTGTCTGCAGGCTTCAATATACGCATATATATGTGTATATTCTCTAACTTGTGGATGAAAAAGTCTACATATTTCTTTTTTTTTTTTTTTTTTTTGAGACAGAGTCTCACTTTGTTGCCAGGCTAGAGTGAGTGCCGTGGCGTCAGCCTAGCTCACAGCAACCTCAAACTCCTGGGCTCAAGCAATCCTTCTGCCTCAGCCTCCCGAGTAGCTGGGACTACAGGCATGCGCCACCATGCCCGGCTAATTTTTTCCATATATATTAGTTGGCCAATTAATTTCTTTCTATTTATAGTAGAGACGAGCTCTCGCTCTTGCTCAGGCTGGTTTCGAACTCCTGACCTCGAGCAATCCGCCCGCCTCAGCCTCCCAGAGTGCTAGGATTACAGGCGTGAGCCACCAAGCCCGGCTTACATATTTCTTTTAAATTAAGCTTTTGTTAATAGAGTTGTTCAAATCTTATATAGCCTTACTAAATTTTTATTATTTATCATTAACTCAGAGGTTTGTTTTAAATTTTCCTTAAGGTTGAGGGTTTAGTAATTTTTCTTTGTAATTCTGTCAATTTCTGCTTCATATATAACAATTGAATTGTTAGGTGCATGTCTTTATGTAATAACCTCTTTTATCCTTCAGAATTTTTGTCTTAAGCTCTATTTTTTGATATCAAAATAGCTATATCAGCCATATATTGGTTCATATTTATTTTATTTATCATATACCATTCTCATACTTTCAGATTTTTGTGTCCTCGTGTTTTCAGCTATTTCAGGTTATACAACTAGATTTTAATTTTTATCCCATCTTCAAGTATCTGTCTTCAATTAATTTAGGCCATTTAAATTTATTGTGACTATTGATAAATGTATATATCTTTCTACCATATATATCTTTCTTGTGCTATTTGTTGACCATATATTTTTTTGCTTGTTTTCCCCAATGCATTTTATTGTATCAATCAGGGATTTCCCCCTCTATTTGTTTAAGTTATTCTATTTCTATTTCATTAGTTATTACACTTGAAATTTAATATGTGTCTTTGAATTAACAAAGTCTAAAATTAATTAAAATCTCTACTCTCCTTTTGAAGAGTACATTAATTGTACTCTTTGAGATCACTCTCATTTTTTCTTAAATTTATTGTTTTCCAGTACTTTTGCTCCAACTTATTTTAACAGTTTTGTGAGATTTAATGTATAGAATATAAATTTTACTTATTTTACTTAAGTAAAATACTTTACTTATTTTAAGTAAAATATAAATTTTACTTATTTACTAAACATTATAAGTTTTAGTGAATTTATAGTCATGCAACAATTACAAAAATCCAATTTTTGAATACTACATACATCATTCCAAAAAGTTTCCTTATGCTTATTTACATACAATCCTCACTTGCACCCTTTGCCCCAAGTCCCAGGTAACAAATGATGTGCTTCCTTTATAGTTTTGCCTTCCATAGTCAGCTATATAGGTTAACTCACATAATATGTAGTTTTATATGCCGGGCTTTCACTTACCAGCATGTTTTTGAGGTTTAAACACTCTGTTGAAGGTAAATGCAGTATGTCTCTTTTTATTATATTTCTGAGTAGTAATCCATTTTATGTATATGTTCCACATTTTGTTTATTCATTCACCACTTGATGGACTTTTGCATTGTTTCCAGTTTGGGGTTATTATAAATAATGCTTCTATCAACATTTTTGTAGACATATTTTTACTTTCTTTTGGAATGGAATTAATAGGATTGGACTGTATAGGAATGTTTAAATTTTTTTGTTAGAGAAAATGTCTTGCTATGGTGCCCAAGCTGGACTCAAACTCCTGGACTCAAGCAGTCCTCCCACTTTCATCTCCCAGGTAGCTGGCTGTGTAGGCATGCATCACCATGCCCAGCTAAATTTTTAATAATACTGCCAAATTATTTTCCAAAGTTCCTGCATCATTCTATGGTCCTAGCAGTAATGTGTGCAGATTCTGGTTTCTTCACATATCCATCAATACTTGATATGGTTAGTTTTGTTATTTTAGCATTCTAGTGTGTGTGTAGTTATCTCATTTTGGTTTTACTTTGCATTTCATCTGCTTATTTGTATTTTTCATATACTTTGTTTGGTGAAGTATCTATTCAAACTTTTTGCCCAGTTCTTTGTTTTTTATTATTGAGTTATGAAAGTTCTTTATGTATTCCAGATATAAGACCTTTATCAGGTATATATTTTGTAATACTTTCACCCAGAAGTCTATAGCTTGTCTTTTTATTTCTTTATTAAATCTTTAAAAAGCAAAGATTTTAATTTTCATTAAGTCCAATTTATCAGTTTTTCTTTTATGGATCATGTTTTTGGTGTCATATCTAAGAAATCTTTGTGTAGCCCAAGGTCATAAATACTTTTTCCTGTTTTTTTCTCCCTTGGAGTTTTATAGTTTTAGCACATACAATTCAGTTTATGACCCGTTTTGAGTTAATTTTTATGTATGATTTGAGATAAGGGTCTAGGTTCAGTTTTTTGTATATGGGTATCCAATTGTTCCAGGATCATTTGTTGAAAAGACTTTCTTTTTCTTATTGAATTATCTTAGCATCTTTGATGAAAATCAATTGACCATAAATATGTGGGTTGAACTCCGAACACCTCTATTTAGTTCTACTGATCTATTTATTTCTCTTAATGCAGATTCCACACTGTCTTGACTACAGCAACTTTATACTAAGTTTTGAAATAAGGTAGTGTAAGGACTCTAACTTCATTTTTGTATAGCAAGATTGTTTTGGCTATTATAGATAGGTATTTTTGTATTTCTATATAATTTTAGACTCAGCTTGTCAATTTCTCCAATAATCTTGTGAGGCTTTTCATAAGAATGTAGTTAACTTATAGATCAGTTGACATCCAAGGATATTGAGTCTCACAATCCATGAGCATGATATATCTCTACATTTACTTAGGAATTTAACTGATCTGAGTAATATTTTACAGTTTTTGGTGTACAAGTCTTGCACTTTGTTCCTAATTATTATTCCTAATTATTTTATTATTACTATGGTATGAATGTCCCCACCAAAACTCATTTGGGACCCTTAAAGATGGTGCCTGATGGGAAGTGTTGGGGTGTTGGGAGCTCCTCCCTTGTGAGCAGCTTCATGCCATTTTTACAGTAGTAAATGAGTTCTCACTCTCTTGAGACTAGATACTAATCTAGTTCCTTTGGGAATGGATTAGTTATCATGAGAGTGAGTTGTTATAAAACAAGTTCAGGCCTCATATTTGGTCTCTTGGCACATGCTTGCTTCCCCTTTGACATTCCACCATGTTGTGAGGCAACACTAAAGCCCTCACCAGAAGCTAAGCAGAGCAGATGCCTCTTGAACTTCCCAGCCTGTAGAACTGTGATATAAATACAGTTCTTTTTTAGTAAATTATTCAGTCTCAGGTATTCCGTTATAGCAACACAAAATGGACTAAGATGGAAAATTGGTACTAAGACTGGAGTGTTACTGTACATATACCCCAAAATGTAGAAGCAGTTTGGAAACTGGGTATAGGCAGAGGGTGGAAGATTTTAGAGGACCAGGCTAGAAAAAGACTATGTTGGCGTGAACAGAGCATTAAGGGTGATTCTGGTGAGGGCTCAGAAGAAGACAAAAGTTCGGAACTCCTTAGAGATTGGTTAAGTGGTCATTACCAGAATGCTGATAGAAATGTGGACAGTGAAGGCCATTCTCATGAGGTCCCAGATGAAAATGAGGAACCAAGGTATTGGGAACTGGAGAAAGGCCATCCTTGTTACACCATAGCAAAGAACTTGGCTGCATTATGTCTATACCTTAAGGCTTCGTGGAAGACCAAACTTAAGAGTGATGACATAGGGTATCTGGCAAAAGAAATTGCTAAGGAAAACATAGAAGGATCTCTGTGGTTACTTTTAACTCTATTCAGTGAAATTCTAAATCAAAGAGAAGTAAAACATAAAAATTTGGAAAATTCACAACCTGACCATGTGGTAGAGAATAAAAGAACATTTTCAGGAGAGGAATCCAAAGGTCCCTAAAGTGGAACAACTGATTACTAAAGCTATTAGCACTGATAGAAAAGAGCCAGTTGCTAATTGTCGAGACAATTTTTTAAAAGGCCCTGAAGGCATTTCAGAAATCTGAGTTTGCCCCTCCCATTACAGGACCAGAGGCCAAGGAGGACAGAACGGTTTCTGGGGATGGGCCCCAGGCATCTCTGTCCTGAGCTTCCTTAGGATCCTACTCCCCAAACTCGGATACAGCACTAAATGACAGCCCCAGTGATGGTGCAACTGGCCCCAGGTAAGCTAGGGCTGCCGCTCCAGAAGGTACAAGCTGTCAACCTTGGTGGCACCCAGCCATGAATCAAGCAGCCCCGGGTGCAGCCGATGCCAGCACTCCACAGGGTGCAAGTTATAAGCCTTCATGGCATCCATATACATGTGGTACTAATTTTGCAGGTGTGGAGAATACAAGAATGGTGGAGCTATAGTGGCTTCCACCTAGATGTTAAGGATGTATTGTACCTGGGGGCCCAGGTACAGACTTGTTGCAGGGGCAGAGCCACCACAGAGAACCTTTGCTAAGGCAATGTTGAACAGAAATATGGGATTGAAGCTGCCACAGAAAATCCCCACCAGGGCAATGCCCAGTGGATCCATAGGAGAAGGACCACCACCAGGACAAAAGAACTGTAGAGCCATTGGCAGCATGCAAGATCAGCCTGGAAAATCTGTAAGCACTTGACTCCAATTTGTGAAAGCAGCCATATGGGCTACACCTATCAAAGCCATACAGGCAGGGTGGGCCGAGGCTTTAGGGGCACAAATCCCCCCACTGTGCCAAGAAGGTAACATATGGAGTGGATGATTATTGTGGAGCTTTAGGATTTAATGTCTGCCCTGCTGAGTTTTGGACTTGCTTGGGATCTGTCATCCCTTTCTTCCTTTTGCTTGTTTCTCCCTTTTGGAATGGAATTGCTGGCATATGCTTGTTCTACCATTGTATCTTGGAAGTAAATAACTTATTTTTTATTTAACAGGCTCATAGCTAGAAGGAACTTGCCTTGAATTTCAGATGAGAGTATATAGACTTTTACTTTTGAATTGGTGCTGGAACGAGTTAAGTCTTTTTGAATTATTGAGATAAATTGATTGTATTTTACAATGTGAGAAGGACATGAGCTTTGGCGGGCAGGTGCAGAATGCTATTATTTGGATCTTTCTGCCAGAACTCATGTTGGAATGTTAAGAGGTAGAGCTTAATGGGAGGCATTGGGGACTTGGGGGCTCCACCCTTATGGGCAGCTTGGTGCTGATCTCAGTAGTGAGTTCTTTCTCTCATGAAACTAGATTGGTTCTTGGAGGAATGTATTAGTTACCATGACAATGGATTGTCATAAAGCAAGGTTGCAGCTCATATTTAGCCTCTTGGCACACTCCCACTTTCCCTTTGACCTTCTGCCGTGTTGTGATGCAGTACCAAAGCCCTTACCAGAAACCCAGTAGATGCCAGCATCATGCTTCTTGAACTTCTCAGCCTGCAGAACTATGAGCTAAATAAATCTCTTTATTAATTGCCCAGTCTCAGGTATTCGGTCACAACAACACAAAACAGACTAAAATAAGTATTTTTTGATGCTACTGTGAATGGAATTGTCTTCTTAAATACATTTTTATATTGTTTATGGCTGGTATATATACGACTAACTTTTGTATGTTGATCATATACTCTGCAACCTTACTAAGCCCCCCTGTTAGCTCTGATAAGTTTGGGAGAAGGGTGTGTATGTGTGTGTGTGTGCATGGGTGTGTGTTGGTATGTATGTATTCCTTATAATTTTCTATATACAAGACTATTAATAAAAAGAGTTGTACTTCTTCCTTTTCTACTTTTTAAAATTTGCGTTTTTGCACAGATGAAGGCCTCTGGTGTGCAATGTTGAATAGAAGTGGTAAAAACAGACATCTTTGCATTTTTCTAGTCTAGCAGGTAATATGTTCAGTTTTTTACCATATGTTTACTATAGGCTTTTGGTGGATGTCCTTTATCATTTGAGGAAGATCTTTTCTAATTATGGGTTGGTGAGAGATTTTTTTATATATGGGTGTTACATTCTGTCAAATGCTTTTCTGCATCTATTGAGATGATCATATGGTTTTGTTATTATATTGTTTGATTTGGGGATGTTAAATCAATCTTACATTTCTGAGATAAACCTCATTTGATTATGGTATATAACCTTTTGCTATGTTGCTCAATTTGATTTGCTAATATTTGGTTAAGAATTTTTAGTCTAGGTTTACAGAGTCCAGGTTCATTTTTTTTCCAGCCCTTACTGCCTCTAAGACATTTATACCAAATATTAACTGAGTTATCCTTTCAATTGAAATATTTAGTCTGTTCCTGTTAAAAGAATTGGCACTCTGCCACTGTAATCTTCAATAAAGTTGAGAATTCTTATCATAGCTAATCATCCTCTTAATACTGATGGAAAGACTATTTTAAAATATAAAACAAAGTTAATCTCATCATATTACCATGAAATTTTAAAAATGTCAACTATTATAAGAGATGTTTAGCATTTTAAATAATTCAATGTTCACATGTTTTTAAAATATGTTTAAAAATAAACATACTTTGTTTAAAACATATCCCATAAATTGACGGGATCTTTGGAATATATGTTTAGCAGATATCTCTTCCATCATACTGGTAAGCAATATTAGTTTGAACCATGTGTCATTATACAGAACTAGCTAGTAATATATTGGATAAAATAAAATTCATCTTTTGCTTGTTATACATCTATGTCTATATCAATATATAGATGTATGCTTTTTTTATATTTCAGGAGTTACACTCTCTATGATATGGTGTATAATGTGGTCATGCTCAGGCTCTGAAGCTCTCCCTGGTGGAAATTTATTTGGACTGTTAATTATTTTTTATAGTGCTTTTCTTGGGGGGAAACTTTTGGAAATCATTAGAATACCTTCAGTGCCTCCACTTCCACCTCTTCTTGGTAAGTAGATAACTAGCCCTCCTTTCATTGTTATTGGTTATATGTGACTTTTGAACATTTTCCATTTGGACTATATATAATTTCAGAAATATTTCAATGTGATATGATCTATATTGCTTCTTTATATATGTATTTACAGTATATAGGTATATATATATGTGTACGTAAAGCTCCTTTATAGACGTATTTATTCTCTCCCCCTCTATATATACACACATACAGGTTTTTTTCAAAAATCTATTTTTAAAATAATTTTGATATGCTTACTGTATGAATCTTGTTGCTTTATCACTTAATGGAATTTTTAACTTAATTTTAAATGTATTATAGAAAAAGAAAAATTTAGAAAAGCCTGAATTTTTCTGTAGACAACCTAACTTGAATACAATTATGAGATTCAAATATTATAGTGACTAGGTCACTAAAAGGTCCTGTGGTTTTTGAGTGAGCTGTTTGGCATCTGCACTGCGTATAATTTCTATCAGAGCTATCTCATATCTTCTATGTACAGCAGGTCCTAAAATGATGTTTCATTCAAAGTTTTTTACTGGTGAGAAACAAAACCCCAATAGTGGTGAGAGCCACTATCTGTGTGGAGTTTTGCCCATTCTCCCCATGTCTGCGTGGGTTTCCTCCTACATCCCAAAGATGTACATATGAGGTGAACTGGCATGTCTAAATGGTCCCCATCTGAGTGTGGGTGTCAGTGAGTGTGCCTTGTGGCAGAATGACCTCCTGCCCAGGGCGGGTTCCCACTTTGCACCCTAAACTGCCAGGATAGGCTTCAGTAACCTGCAACCCTGAACTAGAATAAGCAGGTTGGAAAATGAATGAATGAATACAAGTTATTGTATAATAAAAATTTATAAAGAATATGATAAACATACAAATATACAACAATGCACAGAGAGGTAGGAAAGCACTCAGTGAGCCTGCCATTTGGTGATTGTTTTTGAACTGCATGGTGGGAGAAGGTGCTCCTGACGATTCTAACTTTGCAAACAATTATTCCTTTATTTAAACCACCACCACTATGACTGCTGTCATTCATTGATTCACCAAAAATTGGGTAAATAATTATATTACTTACTTTTATTAATCTTCTTAAATGTATGTATAGCTCATATTTATTTCAATAGGTAATAATGTCAGTGTTTGGGGCTTTACTTGGAAGTCTGGTGATGTTTTTGTACTCATAAATATACTGTAGGGACTTAACTCTTGTTGCTGTCAATAAAGCTATGGAAAAGCTGGTTTTGTTATACACCATTTTGCTTAAAAGTTGTAGTTTCCAAGAACTACATTTAACTACTGTTAAATGAGGACTTACCATATTCAACACATCTAAACATTCAGTATACTGTCAGTGGAGATAATCTCTACATCTTATCTCTGACACGCCTTCTAGGTTCTTAATATTCTTGCAGCATTGTATAAGTATTCATTGAATCTCTTCCCTCCTCTCCAAAGCTTTTGCTTTTGCTGTAAATTAGGCTGTTTGTTTCCAACTTTTGCATGGACTATGACAAAGTCTTCTAACTGGTCTCTGTCTCCAATTTTATCCCTGTCTAATTCACTAAGACCCTCACATAGAAAATGCAAGAGTCATTATTTCACTTGCTGCCTAAAAGCTTCCCACGGTGCCTTAATCTGCCAAAGGGAATGGGGAACTTTCCATGATCTGGCCCCTCCAGCTCATTCTTCCCACTCCTCTCCTTGCCCCTATGTCCTAGCAACACTAAATTACGTGTTGTACCCCATTGGGATATGTTTTTTCTTATGGCTATTCTTTTATTCATGCTACATTCTCTACTTGTATGTAACCTGCCCGTCACCAAAGTAACAAGAGGCATAGTGTGTTGAAAGAGTGGAAATTAAATGTTTGTTTTCTCTCTTGGAAAAATGAACTGAATCAAATATCATTATTTTCTTCCTTTTAAGGGATGTTACTGGCTGGTTTTATTATTAGGAATATTCCATTCATCAGTGACCACGTCCGAGTTCAAACCAAATGGTCTTCAACTTTAAGAAACACTGCCCTTACCGTTATCCTAATACGAGCTGGGCTTGGACTCGATCCACAGGTAGATTTCCAGTTATCACATGACTGAAGTTATTTCAGATATTGGAGGCTGATAGAAAAGCAAAAGAGGCAAAAATTTTGTTACAGCTTTTCCAAGTGGAAAAATGAGCTGTCTGAGAGTTTCAAGTCCAGTGAGACAATGTGGTCAAATGAGATTTAGTTTAGTAAAAGCCTCCTACTCAAAGAAAACTATATATTTCAATATTTTCTTGTCAGCCATTGTAAGTTTATCTAAATATGAATATTTTTATATTTCAGGCTTTGAAGACTTTGAAGAAAGTTTGTTTAAGATTGTCTATGGGTCCATGCCTCATGGAGGCATGTTCAGCTGCTTTTTTCTCCCACTTCATTATGAAATTTCCCTGGCATTGGGGATTTCTATTAGGGTAATTTTACTTATTTTTCGCTATGAAATTATTCAGTTAAAGATGCTTAGTTTTAAATTATTTAGAATGTTGTATAGACAGGCTCTTCATTAAAATGTTTTCACAGTGGTTAAAAAAAACCTTGGAAATCAGATGATCAATAGCAGGGCTATATTCTGAATCTACCATATTCTCAATAAATATTCATAGTCTCTCAGGGTATATCTCAGGGTATATAGCCAAGATAATTCACTTCATCAATTTATTCATTCTGTTCTGTATTGTAATATATTTGTATATTTTAATGTATCTAATGGCGGCTTCCTTATACTCTATATGTGGATACAATTTTATATTATAATATGTATGTAAGTATGTATATGAGACAGATTTTATATAGATATAGTTATAGAAATATAAACTCTCCCCTTTTTAAAAACAAGCAAATAAACAAAAACTCTTCCCCTAAATCCAATGCCCCCTCTCTCTTTATCTACCATCCATTTCTCTATGTCTGAATTCCTCAAAATAAGTCTGTGATCACTATCTCTAGATTCTAACTCCTTTTCATTTTTCAGTTCATTAACTTTTGCCTCCACTTATCCATTCCATTGAAATTTTAGCAAAGTTCACCCACTACATACTTACTACCAAATCCAGTGGATTTTTAAAATTAATTTTTATTACAATAAAATATCCAAATACATTTTTCTTTTGAAAAATTAGAAATTTACAGATGAACATGAAGTGCCCTTTGACCATGCCTTCAAATGCTAGTGTCCAGATTCTACCCAAAATGACAACTTCTATAAGTTTTATGTTATCATTCTAGACCTTTAAAAATAGCATTTTTAAATAGTGGATCTATAAAAAATATATATGTAAAACCATAAGAAAAAGAGTATTATTTTGTGCATTTTTTATTTAATGATATTAAAGAATATTTCACTTTACAATCTGCTCTTTTCACTCAACAATATTCTTGAGATTTATCCATGTTGAAACATGTAGTCCATTCCTTTTAATTATATAAGATTACCTTGTATGACATGACCAGACTTAATTTACATTACAACAAATAGCATTTTATTTGTCTCATTTTGCATAAATGTGAGTTTGTCTAGAATAGTTACCTCAGTTATGTTTATTTTTAGTTTTGATGGATACTGCCAAAATGCCTTCAACAGAGCCACACTACTTTGCCCTATCAGTAACAGGGCATAAAGAGTACTTGTTGTTTTTTCAAATCCTTGCAAATCCTTGATATTATTAAATTTTATGATTTTTTTCCAATCTAGTGAATTAAAAAATGATTTCTCTTTGTTGCTTTAATTTGTATTTCTATGATTATTGATGAGCTTGAGTAACTTTTATATATGTTGTCCTTTCTGTTTTCCTTATCTGTGACTAGCCTGTTCATATCCTTTGTCCATTTTTCTATTGAGTTATTATTCTCTTATTAATTATATTTGTTATATGTATTTGTATGTTACATGTATTGCAAATATCTTGTCCCAGTATATCCCTGGATATTTAACTTTGTTTATGGTGACCTTTTTCAATATAAAAAGTATGTTTTATTATTTCCAACAGATAGAAGGGCCAATACATAAAACCATTCGCTTGACCTTAAAAATCAAAAAGGAAAATAAAAGGGAGAAGAAAGTAGAATATAGTGGTTTTGAGTATTAAAGTATTTTTATTTTAATAATTGAATTTATCAAATTTACTCTTTATGTTTAATGTTTATTTGTTGTTCAAAAGGTCTTTTTTACCTCATGGTTGCAAATATATTCTTCTATATTTTATTCTTATTACTTTTACTTTTAAGCTCAGTTTTAAAAATTTAGGTCTTAAAAACTTAGAATTTATTATGATAAAAATCTAGCTATATTCTTTTCCACATGAGTAGGTACTTGTCTCAACACCATTTATGGAAGATTTCTTTCTTTCCCTCACTGATTTGAAATGTCAATTTTATCATGTAACAAATTCCATAGATTTTTTTCTACAGTTTGTATTTTGTTTTCTTCCCTTTTGTCTGTCTATATGTCACTATTTCACAGTTATAGAAACAGTGTCTTCTTTTGCCTTTGCAGAAACAGTGTCTTCTTTTGTTTGAATTGATTTAGTCTTTCATTCTAAGCTCTTATTCTTCCAAATGAATTTTATAATCAGCTAGTCAAGTTCAGTGAAAAATTCTGAGAGAATTTTGATTGGTATAGCACTGAAATTAATTTGGGGAAGAGATAACATCTTTATAATATTGAGGCTTTTAATCCACAAATGTGAACTCTCTCTCTAATTATTCAGATGTTGTCTTAAGGACAATATTTATTTATAATTTTTGGAAAGGTGTAGATTATCTTCATAGTTTTGTCCATAGGTGTTTTGTGTTTTTTATTGATGTAGATCAAAATTTTCATGTTTTCTAGTTAGTTTTTGCAGATATATAAAAAAAAGTATTTATTTTTTAAATCACCTTTATTGAGGTATAATTTTCATACATAAAATGGGCACCCACTCATTTCAATGAGTTTTGACAAATTTATATTTGTAACCACAGTTGTAACCACATTTTCATTATGTTCCTAAATTCTTCTGTGTTCCATCCCACTTTATGGAATGCTGGCCCTGGGCAACCCATGATATTAGTATTTTCTATAACAATAGATTAGATTTTTCTATAGAGTTTTTAAAATAAATGTAATTATATAGTGGGTTTTCTTTTGTTTCTGGGTTCTTTTGGTCAGCAAGATGTTTTTGAGGTACATCCATATCATGACTAGAAGTTAATTCCATTTTATTGCTGAGTATCATTTCATTGTATGGACAATCTTTTTTCCATTCGGGGCTATTACAAATAAAGCTGTGTGAAGATTTACATTCAAGTCTTGTGTGGACATTTGTTTTCATTTCTTAAGGAAATATGTAGGCATAGAATTGCTGGGTCATATGGTGACAGAATGTTTAATTTTATTAAGAAAATAAAAAACAAAAAAATCATCAGTTTTCTAGGATGTAGTATTTTATATTCCCCTCTACCCCCAAAATATATGAAATTTCAGGGCATCCACATACTCTCCAATACTTAGTGGTGTGTCTATTTAATTTTAGCATTTTTAGTGGTTGTGTAGTAGTATCATATTGTGGTTTTAATTTGCATTTCCCTGTTAATTACTGACATTAAACATATTTTCATGTGCTAAAACTATTCATCTTCTTTAATAAAGTGTCACTTCAAATCTTTTGCCAATTTTTAAAATTGAGTTGTTCATCTTCTTATTGAATTTAAAGTTATTATTATATTCTGGACTGAGTCTTTTGTCCAAAATATGTATTGTGATTTTTCTTTTCAACTATATGACCTGTATTTCTTCCTTCCCTTCCTTTGTTTCTTCCTTTCTTGTTTCTTTCTTTCTTTCCTTCCTTCCTTCTTTCCTTCTGGCTGAAACAACAAAAATTTATTTCTCACAGTTGTGCAAGTTGGAAGGCCAAGATCAAAGTGTCAGTTAGATAGTTTCTCCTGAGGTCTCTCTCTTTTCATATGGCCTTTCCTCTGTTTGCAGGCATCCTTAGTGTATTTTTCTTTTCTTATAATGACACAAGCCCTGTTGAATTAAAGCCCTACCTTTTATGACCTCATTTAATTTTAATTGCTACTTTGAAGGCTCTGTCTCCAAATAGAGTCCACATTGAAGATTAGAGCTTCAATATATGACTTTGTGGGGCTGGGAACACAGTTCACTCCATAACAATTCCCAACCCAGGAAAGTTTTTCTTCCTATCTTCTCTAACAGTTCTCCTTTTCTTTCTTCTATCTCTTGAATATAGGAATGATTTTGGGGTTAGTATTAGGCCCTCTTTTTTTCCTCAATCTGACCCCAGTTCTTTTTTCACATTCTAATGATTTCAATTTTGTCTACGAGCCATTGGCTACTATATTCCTTTACCATAGAAGAAGCAAAACAAATTTTCCAAATGGGAACATCACATCAAAGGATCATATCTCATTGAAGTAGGGGATGCATGTAGAACCTTCTCCAAGGTGACACTCTGGTCCAGTCCTCAAGAACCAAAAATGATCATCTGGAATTGTGTTAGTATTTCATTTTACATCCCATTACACAACAACAACAATGAACATTTTTTGAGTATTTACTATGTGTCAGGCATTCTTCCATGAGCTTAACAAATGTTAATTCATCTTTGTAAAGCTCGTGATAATTTTATCCTCATATTATTCTAATTTTACACCCTAGAAAACTTAGCTATAGGATGATTAAATAAATTTCTTAAGGTCACACAGCTTGTGACTATAGTTATCTTGTAGTATGACCAGGGCTCATACTCCCAACCACGTGCTAAGACTACAATTATGTATATAACACTTATTTTTGATACAGGTGACATTTCAAGTCAGGATAAGGAAGTTTTAGTCAAAAAGTATATTATAATAAATAGAATATCACTTGTGAAAAATTAAGATATTGTTAGATTCTTTCTTCCATTTCCTATGCCCAAAGTCATAAGATATTCTTTTATATTATCTTCTAGAAATTTTACTTTTTTACCTTTCACTTTTAAATCCATAGTCTACCTTAAATTAATGTTTGTGTTTCATGTGAGGTAGGACCAAGTTTTTTTCTTTTTTTTTTTTACTATAAATATCCAATCTACCTAACACCATTGATTTAAAAGATCATTCTTCCTACTTCCACTGTTCTTTCATGCTACCTATGTACCTTTGACCTTTGTCAAAGAAAACTTTGTCAAGTTTTTATATATGTATCAGTCTGTTTCTGGGTTCTATTTTTACCCAAAGTTATATTTATCTATCTTCTGCCTTAATTATTGTAGCTTTATAATGTCTTGACATCTTGTAAAACTGTCACTTTTATAATCTTCTTCAAAAGTGTCTTTGCAATTAATAGTCCTTAATATTTCCATAAAATTTAGAGTCAATTGGTCAATTTTCACCAAAAAATATTTTGATTGAAATTATATTGAATGCATTATTT